ATTATTTTGATCTAAATCATATTTGATGCCTCCTTTCCTTTTCAAAAAATAAAAATAAAAATTTGATGCCTCCTTCAATGATTTGGATTATGATATATTTACACTCCAAAACGTTGTAATCACAGCTGGTAAAGCTAAATCTACAGCCGGATGCAAAAGGTTCATATGTCGAAGTTTTAGAACGGTATGTCAATTTGGGGCCGATAGTTGACTTTTGTGTGGTTGATCTTGAGAGGCAAGGCCAAGGTCAGGTCGTAACTTGTTCTGGAGCTTACAAGGATGGTTCTCTTCGTGTAGTTCGAAATGGAATTGGAATCAATGAACAGGTTTTACTCATTTAAATATACTGGTACCCAAAATTTCATTGTGTGCATTTGCATATGGTTCTTGATACTGATATGTGTCACTTCTTTATTGTATGACTTTGAACAGGCATCAGTTGAGCTTCAAGGTATTAAAGGAATGTGGTCATTAAGATCCTCCACTGATGATCCTCATGACACCTTCCTGGTTGTAAGCTTTATCAGTGAGACACGAATTTTGGCAATGAATCTTGAGGATGAGTTGGAAGAAACTGAGATAGAAGGCTTCTGTTCTCAAGTGCAGACTTTATTTTGCCATGATGCTGTCTTCAATCAACTTGTGCAGGTAGGTTATTTAAGTCTTCTATCATTACATTGTTTGTTCTATATTTTAATGCATATTGAACCTTTCTGTGTATTTAATCTGCTCTATGTTTTAATCATTACATTGCTTGTTTTTTTAATTTGTTTTTCACTTTTTATGTCGTTATGGCCAGAAACACTATTTTTAAGCATCACTATCACATCACTGCCAACATTGAGAAGGCAAAGTCCTTCGTTGCTACACCCCCTAGTTTCTTCTATACTATACTTGCACTAGTGGTTTAAAATTTTTTAAGAGATATTTAGTGATATACCCATTCTTAGCACTAATATTATAGATAAACCCTCTATCATTGAATTTCTATAAACAAACCCAAAAAAAACCCCAAAAATGATAGCTGGCCTTATTGGATTTAATATTGATTATTAAATTACTTTAATGCCCTATTGAGTGTTTTGGGTATTTTTATAAGATTTTGAGGTTGGGCTTGTTTTAAGAAATTTATGGTAGTTTTGTAATTTATAAGAAGTTAAAGCCTCTTTGTTATGTTGTAAATGGATTTTGGGTGTGTTTATAAAGTTCATTTCATATGGGATATTTTTATAATTTAGGCCCCCATATTGGGTATATTAGTGAATCTCCCATTTTTTAATACGCTCCTCATCTACACGTTCCTAGTAAATCACATCATACCTGATGAAGTAGGGAATATCTACATGGTCTACCTCACTAGATGATGTTGATGATATTGTCAGCGACCATTTTTCTCACTTTTTAAAAATGTAATGTTAACATTTGCAGGTTTATATTTTTCTTTAATGAAATGTTCTATTATGTAGATAGTCTGGACTCTAAAGGTGATTAATTTGTTGATGATAGAAAAGTATTGTTCCTAGTGCATGCTGGCTGATGAATTAACATCACAGGTCACTTCGAGCTCTGTAAGACTAGTCAGTTCTACATCTAGGGAGCTGAAGAACGAGTGGTTTGCTCCAGCAGGCTATTCGATCAATGTTGCCACTGCTAATGCCACCCAGGTTTTATTTCTGCTTGTTATAACTTATAAGTTTGTGAGTAAGCTAATAAAATCTGTGTTTCTTATTAAAAATCAATTCTGCAAGTAACAACCATTGGCAATTTGGCAGTTTTAGTTGCTTCAATAAAGTCAGATATATATTTTTTGGGAAATTCTTGAGTAAAACCTATGACGAATTAGGAAACATGTACCTTAAATTTTCTAGACGTAATTATACTTTCATATTGTAGAATAGGTGGTTTTTCATAAGGGGCTTCTATCCACATGAAAAACCAACCTTTACTCAACACATCCTAGCATATTCCCAAAATATCTTAAAACTTGACAATTCTTTTTGATAGATTCTTGTGTGTAGATAAAATCCCTTTAATAATTAGTACTTGGTCAATAATCTAGTATCAGCATTGCAAATGAGTAGAGGATATCCTAACATGGTATTTGTTCTGTTTGGGACATGTCTGCACTAACATTTGGTTGGGCCTGTTGTTGATGCGCTAACTGGTTGTTGCTGTAATCTATTTCTGTGACAGGTTTTATTGGCAACTGGAGGAAAGCATTTAGTTTATTTAGAAATTGGTGATGGGGTTTTGACACAGAAAACCCATGCACAGTTGGACTTTGAGATCTCATGCCTTGACATAAACCCCATAGGTGAAAATCCCAATTATAGCCAGCTAGCAGCCGTTGGAATGTGGACAGATATAAGTGTCCAGATATATTCACTTCCTGACCTGAGCCGCATCACCAAGGAACATTTGGGAGGAGAGATCATACCTCGTTCTGTTCTTCTTTGTGCCTTTGAAGGGGTATGCCTGTGCTTGAGCCTACTTCCCTAAGTATTTTCTCACTTTTACTCATTATTGTTGGTCACAAATATAATGTCTTTTTTGGGAATACTATTAGGGAGTGGCTCTTCTAATAGCATGCTTAACTGGTTATGATTTCCATTATTACCATTTTTGGAATCTATCTAAAAGAGTCGGAGCATATAATCATGTTGACTTCTGTAGCATAGATGATGGATTTGTAATTTTCACATGAATTGCTTTCTTCGGTTCCTTAGCAGAGTTTTAATGCTGTGGTTATTTGGTTTTTGACTAAAGTTTTGTGTTACTATTTTTTTTTTCACTCAGATATCCTATCTGTTATGTGCCCTTGGAGATGGGCACCTCTTAAATTTTATATTGAACACAAGTACTGGTGAGTTAACGGACAGGAAAAAAGTCTCTCTCGGGACTCAACCCATTACACTCCGTACTTTCTCATCCAAGAGTACTACGCATGTATTTGCTGCATCAGATAGGCCAACTGTCATTTACAGTAGCAACAAGAAGCTGCTTTACAGCAATGTAAATTTGAAAGAAGTCAGCCATATGTGCCCATTCAACTCTGCTGCTTTTCCAGACAGGTACTTCTCTCTTTATTCTTCACTGTTTAAATTGTTTGTAGGATCTAGGTTTAATGCATATCAAATTGTGTAATCTTTTTTCCTATTTTCAATTTGTGATACACTATAAATTTTTTATGCAGTAACTTTGCACATACAACAAATTATATATCAGGCTTTTTCAAAATGGTTGGCAGTAGTTAATAATGTGATGAGTCAGAATACCAGCTTAGGATGCTTAATTATTAGTAGTTACCATTGGTTGGCGTGATTTATTTAGTACTTTTAAAAACTGACCAAATGTTATATATGTAACTGTGCATGTTTTAAATCTTTTTAAAATGATATCATGTGGTGATATCTTAAAATATTAGGCCTGGCACCCTATAGGGTGCAGTTTACTGCAAAAATTGATGAGTGCTTCCACACTGAATCTTCCTATTTTCTATCCATTAGCTGGTGCAAATGCAGGATGGATTAGGTACTGGGTTATTATGACTAGTTAGTAGTTTATTAAGAGAATAAATGGTTTAGGTGCAATGTAGATACAACCATAAGCGGGTTGAGGAATGGCATGTTTCCAGTTCTGTTACTTCATGGATTGATGGGGTAACTCTTTCCCCAGCCCCTTTCAGACAAAGAGAATTAACTGATTTTCCCTTTTTCTTATGACAACAGCCTTGCGATTGCTAAAGAAGGTGAACTAACTATTGGCACAATTGATGACATCCAGAAGCTTCATATCCGCTCTATTCCCTTAGGGGAGCATGCACGCCGTATCTGCCATCAGGAGCAGTCCAGGACCTTTGCCATATCTAGCGTGAAATATAACCAGTCTAGTGCAGAAGATTCAGAAACACACTTCATCCGCTTGTTAGATGACCAGAGTTTTGACCTCATAACATATTATCAACTTGATGCTTTTGAGTATGGCTGCTCCATACTTAGCTGTTCCTTCTCAGATGACAGTAATGTATATTACTGTGTTGGGACGGCATATGTTCTCCCAGAAGAAAATGAGCCAACCAAAGTAAGATGGCATTTAAGTTTACTGGTTTGAGTGCAGAAATCTCACTTGAACTGGTAACTGACTGATTTTTCATTCTCCCTTGCTAACTGCATTGTCTAATTGTAGGGTCGCATTCTAGTTTTCACAGTTGAAGATGGGAAGCTGCAACTCGTCGCTGAGAAGGAAACCAAGGGGGCTGTTTACTCTTTGAATGCATTCAATGGCAAGTTACTTGCTGCTATCAATCAAAAGATACAGATATACAAGTGGACTCTGCGGGATGATGGTACTCGCGAGTTGCAATCGGAATGCGGACATCATGGCCACATACTAGCGCTTTATGTCCAGACTCGTGGTGATTTCATTGTTGTTGGGGATTTGATGAAGTCAATTTCTCTGTTAATCTACAAGGTAATAAACTAATATTCAGCCTTCCACAGACCATGAACTAGTACTGACTCAAAGTGGTAGCAGTAGTAGATTTGTTTACTTCCAGATGAATTTCATAAAGGTTCAACCTTACATTACCTGATGACAGTGAAATTGAATTGTGCTGTTGGGATATTTGGTGGGAGGTCATATGTGTTGTGGGTAGATTAATGAATGCCTCATGAAAAGAATTCCTTTTGTGTCTGCTCTGCTAGTTCATTATGGGACATGTTTAAGGACTATTCTCTTGTTAAACTGAAAATATTTGTTCTTGTATTCAGCATGAGGAAAGTTCCATTGAGGAGCGAGCACGCGACTATAATGCAAATTGGATGTCAGCTGTAGAGATCCTTGATGATGATGTTTACCTTGGAGCTGAAAACTTCTTCAACCTCTTCAGTGTTCGGAAAAATAGTGAAGGTGCAACTGATGAGGAACGTGGCCGTCTTGAGGTTGTTGGTGAGTATCACCTAGGTGAATTTGTCAATAGGTTTCGGCATGGCTCTCTTGTCATGCGCTTGCCAGACTCTGATGTGGGCCAGATCCCAACTGTCATTTTCGGCACTGTCAATGGTGTAATTGGAGTCATTGCCTCACTTCCCCAAGAGCAGTATGTGTTTTTGGAGAAGCTCCAGTCAAACTTGAGGAAGGTGATAAAGGGTGTTGGAGGGTTAAGCCATGAGCAGTGGAGGTCATTCAACAATGAGAAGAAGACTGTAGACGCCAAAAATTTCTTGGATGGCGATCTAATCGAATCGTTCCTTGATCTCAGCCGTAGCAAGATGGATGAAATTTCAAAACAAATGCGCGTTTCAGTGGAGGAGCTCTGCAAAAGAGTAGAAGAATTGACAAGGCTGCATTGAGTCAGTTGATGTTTTTATTTCTTAATTCTTTTTTCTTTCCCCATTGTTACATAACGCTATACGATGGGGCCTGTTTCTTTTATTTTGGATAGCATGAGTGGTATATATTGGCACTGTATTTCCGATGTGTTGTGTAAAATACTTGGCAGTGAACTTCGGAGATGCTTCCTTTTGAGTTAAATGGGAAATTATAACAAGAAAACCTTATATTACTTTTCTTCGTTACTATTTTATTTGATTGTAAAGGGCTTGCTATTCACTTACATCTGTTAAATGCAGCACATAATGAAGAAGCACGGGTTGTGCCATGCTCAGTGAAAAGCTGCACATCTTGGCGCACTGAAATGTGTAGTTCTTTTCACCCCAAAAAACATAAGCTTGGAGTTCAAAATTATGGCTGATTAGTTCAAGGCCTTCGATAATATTTACTTTAGAAAGTGTCAAGTCATTTTTAGAGGTCTTTCGTTACGTGTGCTATTTTCGGAATTTTTTATATAAATTTAAAGTTCACAGCATCCCTTTGTTCATTATGATTCTGATTCAATTCTTTCATCAACATCATTTGTCATAAAGTGAAAATATGTAACTTGCTCATGAAACTTCTCCATTATTCCTTCCCTCCCAAAAACTGCATAAGTAATAATGTGTTCACAGAGAAAAAGGAGGGTAAGCAAAATTTATGAGCAATCTGATAGATGATATTACAAGCCATCTATCACCAATAATCCCGACAAGAACATGATCCCTTGATAAAATGATGGAATCGGTTTCGATCACGAACGATAATTTCTCTACCGAATTTTTCTGAAACATGCTTCATGAACGAATGACAGTCACGACATATTCGGAGGTTCTTCATGATCCGAATCGTCCTACTATCCTTGACACTCAGAAGGGCAAAAGCCACAGCCAATTTCTCACTATGATAACCAAGACATTGCTCCTTCTCCTCCTCTTCAATGTCATGCAACACATTTGATGTATGAGGAGTATAACCTGTGTCTCTTATACTTTCAATTATGCTCTCCAAGAATTCTATAATATCCTCAAATTGGGGATGAGAGTTAGCCCCTGATACAAACTCATGAATGGCATGATCTACACTGATTAAACTATATCCAGGGTTCTTGTTAATTCTCTTTGCCCTCATTGAAGTCCTAACCTTTTCCTTTTCAACCCATCTCCCGGCTCCCCCATAAGCATTAGATAAAAGCACATAATCTCCATCATGGTAAGGATCTAGCTCCTGGACCCTCTCCTTCACTCTCTCAGCCAATGCAAGATGGTTATGATTTACACATGCTCCAAGCAAAGTCCTCCAAACTACTGGATTCGGCCTTACCGGCATTTTCTCCACGAACTCGTAAGCTTCGTGAAGCAAGCCAGCCCGGCCAAGCAGGTCGACCATGCAACCATAATGCTCAAGCGTTGGCTTCAGGCCGTACTCATCTTCAATGCTTTTGAAAACCCTCCAACCATCATCAACAAGGCCTCCATGACTGCTTGCCACTAAAACCCCAGTTATAGCAATGTGATCTGGCTGCAAGCCAGATTCTTTCATCTCATAAAAGACCCTCAGAGCTTCTCTGCTGCGGCCATGCACTGCAAGGCCACTAATCAATGCTGTCCATGTGCGCACATTCCTCAGTGGCATTTCATCAAACACTCTGATAGATTTATCAATGGAGCCACATCTCGAAAACATGTCGATCAAAGCAGTTCCCAATGAAACAGTAAGTTCTAGCCCATTTCTGTGAATAAATTGATGAACCCACTCCCCCAATTCAATTTCCCCCAACATCGAAACAGGGGAAATTACACTGAGCATAGTAACCTCATCTGGCATCACATTCTCTGCAAGCTGCATTTGCTGAAACAAGGAAAGAGCTTCGTATGCAAACCCATTGTTGGCAAAACAAGCAATCATGGAAGACCAAGAAACCAAGTCTCTCTCACGCATTTCATGGAACATGTTCAGTGCAGGCTCAACCGACCCACAACCCCCATAAAAACTAAGCAATGCGTTCTGAACATAAATGTCTGAATCAAACCCAAGCTTGAGAATAAGTGCATGCAGGTCCTGACCCAGTTGGAGGCGAGCGCAGGCCTTGAGAAGAAATGGGAAGGTGAAGTTATCAGGCGGGACGCCATGCCTACGCATTTGGGTGAAGAATGAGAGCGCATGGGAGCAAGAGGAGTGGGATGTTGCGTGGGCTCTGATGATGGTGTTGTAAGCGAAGGTGTCTGGAGAGGGAAAGTGGGCGAAGAGAGAGCGGGCGTAGGGTAAGCTTTCGTGGGATGGTGTTGCAGAGCACCATAGAAGGAGGCGTCGGAGGGAGAGAGGGTGGTTGTGGGTGCCAATCTTGATGAACCAAGCGTGGACCTTGTACACATTGTTCATAGACATTATTGTTTCTCATTGCACTCTGTTTCATCGCCCTGCAATCCAAATTTCATTGGGAAAATTAGAAAGAGAAAAATAAATTACACAGGCTTTAATTCAATGGAAGAATGAAGAAAGAGAGGGAAACCGAACGAGGAAGAAAGGGCTTAAGGCTGGGTTCATGGATTTGGGTGGGCTGAGAAAAGGTTGGAGTGGGCTTTTGATATGGGCTACTGGGCTGGAGCTTAATTGAGCCCATTAGTTAAAACAAACCCACCATTACCTCCATAAATTGTTCCTTCTCTTTTTTTTCTATGCCAAAGTTAAGAAAATGGAGGAGGAAACTCACAGACACAGGTTTCATGGATACTTTAACTCATGACCACTTGAGAGCACACCAAAGACTTGATCCAATCCAACTAACACCCCACTGGTAAATTGTTTGTTAAAATATGAATAATGTGCGGCATGTACCACATCACTAATAAAATTATTGATTTAATTGCTAGTCACCAAATATATGAGATAATGTGAGAACTTGTAAGTTTTTAGTGGTGTAGAGCAATTACCCTAATTACAAGTTTCGATGTTCTTTTCCCATAATTTAAGACTTATTTTGTACCCAAGAAAAAAGGAAAGAAAAGTGACGAAATTTGGGGGAATGGATTCCACATGATGTTTTACAAAATGAGCTCCAAGTGGGGATAGCTGAACGAGCTAGTAGCACCCACATATACACAAGGCAACAATACAACAAGGTGGAAGTTGTGTTTGTGTGTAATGTATCAAGACTATGTGGCTTTGTTTGTGAGGGAGTAATTAGAGCCACCGAAAGAGATGTTAGTGGTACTTGGTACTTGAGATTCCATTCCACAAATAAAGGCAGAAAGATCCATTTAGGCCAAGACAAACAATACTGTTTTAGACATCATTTTTGTCTCTTTTAATGGATTTCACTTTAGGATATACATTCATGAATCAAGGGTTCATTATACATTAGTTCATAGATAATTGTCCGCATTTCAATAATCTGACTCATCATTTGTAAAGTTTTCATTCACTAATCATTCATTCAAAAAATCACTCAAATCATATAACATTTAACTATTTGACTAAACGATAGTCATTATATATATATATATTAAGTACCGTTCGTCTCGTTATTTCATTGGTCTTAATGTTAATGCTATAGGGTTTGTCCTATAAAAAAAATAAAATAAAAAAATGATATAGAAATGAAGAGTCAAAAAATCATCACAAAATCAAGTGAGTCTTATAAGATGTCGATTCAATTAGGGAGGCAATGGCCCCCCCTTGCCGCACAAGCTTCCTTATAGAAATGGCTTAATAGAAGCAAAGTCGTGGCCATTGGTGCACTTTTTTCACTGATTGAAGTAAAAGTCGAGGCAAAGGATTGACGGCGACTATAATTTAAAAGCGACTTTATATGCTGAGTGAATTGGACTGATTCCTGCAAGTCATTCCTATCAGTCTAACCAAACGTTCTACTCTTAACTGAATTATATATATCATCATTCAATTTCAACATCCAATCCTGAATATGAAATTAATTGTGTCCAAAGTTGTTGGTCAATATGCACTTTCGACTTTCATATGATATGCAATTTCAATTTTCAAAATTAGGGCTTTAAAAAGTGGAAATAATAGATACTTTAGTGAGACCAAGTCTACACTTGATTGATTCATTGTATACGTATACATGTGAAGATGAGAAGACTAATCCTGTTAGGCGGGCTCTTTTTTTTATAATTAAATTTTATTTTATTTTAATTCTCACTATACAAGTTTACGTAAAGAGGGAGTCGAACTTGGGTGTAAAGAGACGGACTTATTGTCCTGCCTAACTAACCTACACACTACATCTACTAAAACTAATAAATAAAAATAAACTAAAACGTCCTTAACAAAAAAAAAAAAAAAAAAAAAAAAAAAAAAAAAAAAAAAAAAACAACTAAATAGAAAATGGATGGATGGATAAAAAATAAAAAATATAAGGAGATACTCCTATGCATACGCTATGTGAATAACAGATTGATATATATACAAAAATAATTTATCAAAATACAAAAAGAAAAATTTACGCATACATGTCTTACAGTTGGCAGGAACGCGAGAATTCCTACTTATCTTATGAGGAAGTATTTTCCAAAAATTTTTGGACTGCCGAAAGCTTTTCAATCGGCCGGATTCGCTGTGCGGGTCAGGGTGTCAGGAGGATATGAACGAAACGACGCTGACAATCAAATATCAAAAAATAATTCATCAAAAATACAAAAAGAAAAACTTAGCATATATGTCACATTGCTATTAACAGAAATATAGAAATTTCTACTTATTTGACAAGGAAGAAAGTATTTTCCAAAAGTATTTGAACTGCGGAAAGCTTTTTAATGGGGCGGATTCGCTCCGGCTTGTGCGCGTCAGGGTGTCAGGGTGTCAGGAGGATGTGATACAAATAAACCAAACGACGCTGACAATCAAAACATGTGATGTGTGCACTTGCGATACCAAATAAAAGATATATACTCGCTTCTTCTGCCTTCCACATCACACGTGTCTATTTTTATTTATTATTTTTATTATTCTTTGCAATTAT